AGGATGTCACAAAATAGAGCGTGTTGGTGGTTTCCACAGTGAACGACGCAATGTTACCAACGWGACCAATAACTTCCCTTTTTAGCTCTGAAGTAATCTTGGGTGAATATGGATGCGCTAAATACAAATAATTGCTTTGTCAGTTTTACCTGAGGAAATGAAATTTGCATCRAAAAATGAAATGCATCACTACATAGAATTGATTTCTTTTGGTCATTCCTTTTTGTCATTATGTTTCTGTCATGTTTCGTTCCTTTTCTTATATTATWTGGTTTTTCTTCTTAAATCATTTCTCTATTATTTATAGGTTTAATTTATCATACGTTTTCCTTTTCCGAATTTCTTTTCTTTTTTTTTGTTTTTGTTTTGTCATGGAGGATATTGTGGTTTCGGTTGCTGCAGTCGTTATTATTGTTACAACAGTAACCTACCCAAATTTCTCTTTACGCGAGCTGCAGCTTCTGTAAGAGGATCTGCGAAGGTCAGCAAAATTGCTGATGAAAGTATACAAAGTAAGTAGATTGTAAAACAATTCTAGTTTTATGCATTTCAACAACAYAACAATAATGTGGAATTTGAATAGTATAACAAGTATGTACAAGTGATCATGGGGGACTATTTTATTTTCTGGAAGAATCGAAAACGTTACTTGCAGAATTGAGTATGTTTTCTGATTAAAAAAAGGTCAAGCTATATATCTTGTGTTACCGAATACTTTTGAATGTCCATTCTTTATACTATTGGTCTAGTGAAGCACTATATCATTTCCGTGAAAAAACATGTATATTATATAAGCACATAAGCATACTTCATTTCTATGGTGAAACTAATCAAGTTCGCTAGCTGGGTGATCAATGATAGGAAGCCGGGAAGGATGTTAATTGTTTATTTCCGAAATTACGCACGAATTAACGCAGGTTAGAGGTCAATAGCTAACGCATTTGTAGACGTATAGGTGGACGTGAACATCTAGAAAATAAAATGTTCACGAAACTGTTGCTTGTATCTTGAATAGGTCTACATTTTAACCATTTGTCTGGAATAGGGTATGGAATTTCTCGATTTTTCTGTCTTGAATAGGGTTAGGGTTTAGAGGTACCAGCGGAACGTTCCCGTTCGAATCTGGAGCAAGTTAACCCCMAACTAAGAATTCCACATCGAGGGGATAAATGCAGACGTGTAGGCGTACACGTGGACCGCGAAGGAAGGAAATGTTTATAGACCGCATATTTACTGTAGGTCAACACCAAATGAATTGCAGCAATTCCRGCTCGAAGTGAAATGCAAACAAAACACGTGGGTGTACGTGCAATAGGCGTTGCTGTCTCCAATTTTAATTGTGATAAATCTTTTTGAGATGTGTTCTATCTGTGTTATTATTTCTTAMATTTATTCGTTTATTTAGATTTCAATATATTCTGCGTCAAGCCCACGCTATACCGCATTCCACTTATGATCGCAATTGAGCCAATTCGTGAGGCGTTTTTCATCCTTGAATTGCCCTCGTGACCCAAAGCTCGTGACCTTCTACCCACTTTCCCACTGAGCGACTCAGGATCCCGGCCAGTATTAGTGATTCTTCAGTAGAGGGAACGTTTGTAAGGGCTTGCGGTACTGCGGTGTCAGATTAGCCTGCGTGCAGGCGTTCCTCGTTGGGGGCGGAGCGAAGAAACGGAAGGGAACGCCTGCAGGAGCCCATTGCTGTGATTTTTGTGCGGTACTATGGTAATTTAAAATATGAAGTCAATTTAGACCTCGCAGTAATCATTGAATAAAAAACGATGTGGCAATAAAAAATGAAAAGCACAAATTTCTCAAAAAAATTCAAATCTGTTRACGTTGTTTCGGGGACTTAAATCTTCCAAACTTCATCAAACAGTAAAATAAAAACAACTTTATAGTTCAATTCTAAATGGCCCGCCCTATTTTGCTATTTTTGTTGCAATGGCGGTAACTTCAAAGTTTTGCTGCGGTATAATGAGAGGGGGAATAACGAGAATCAAGAAGGAAGGTCACAATCTCCGAATCGAGAATGTCAACAGCCAGGAAGTAATGAGTTAACTTTTAGRGTGGAAGGAAGGATGCTGAATTTTCCTGACTAGACTGCAAAAGGGCCTTTTTAGTGATATATATCGATATTTAGAGCCTGGCTGGAGTATTGCCGTAAAATCAAGAGCAGACGTGTTCGTCGGGGGAGGATGAAAAAAGATCTGAATTGTGTTGATTGAACTTCCTCCCCCTCTCATCCCCCTCTCAAAACATGGTCAAGGTGGAATTTCTGACCTTTCCTTAAACAATAGAAATGAAATCCAATTTGTTTGTTTGTCTCAAGTGTTAAGCTCGCCTTATATAGTTGCTTAAACTGTTTCGGGCACTAACTTCGTAGGCAGGTCAAGTATTATTTGAGGAGAATCTATTTTTTTTTCATCTCTTAGGACAACTTATTGACATCATAGTACATCGCGAAAAATCGCTGCAAATACAATCATTTCTATCTATCACAATTTACCGAAACTGACGATTGAGATTTGGAAAAWTTTTGCCAATCAAAWTTTTTTCAATAAACAGAATTATTTCACAATCATGACGTTCAGTCTCGTAATCGGTGCCCTTTGGAGGGCGGACGTAATAGTATCGGTCCAACTCAGATTACATTCGACTAGATTGCTGTTTCCGACGATGGAGGGTTTGCCATGGAAACTTTGAWAAACAACAAAACAACAAAACTTCGCACTCTAGCAGTCTGCTCTACAAGTTGATATTCGTTCATCTTGCATTCCGACAGTGAATTTTTTCATTGTTTTTTTTAGCTACTWGCAATTTTTGTACGATGTCATGCCAGGAGGAACGTGTTACCAAACGCCGTGAGCGGATGTCACGATTCAATAGCGAAATTCATGGTTTTTCACCCTCAGATCACATAAGTTATATTGTGAACAATTGCGGTAAAGAAAAAAAWATGCAGCGTTTGCAAGATGTAATATCATATTTATATTAATTCTTGACAGTAAGGATTCATACTTTAGATTTTCACTTTTCATTTTTGTTTTTTTTATCTTAGCGAGAAAAACTAATGACAGAATATGTCTGATACGTCTTTCACCCGGATTCGTGATAATTATTCGTAGATAGTTGATCGCGTGCGATTGATATTTGATATATTTTCAGTGCCTCCAATACTCTAAAGCCTGCAGATTAACTCGATAATGCATTGCTTTTTCACGATTGATAATGCATTTGAAAATGATTTCTTAAAAACGTCCAAGCCCTTACGTTGCACAGCACAGCTGAAATGACAGCTGACATCATTCAAGAAAAGACGAGTAAACTTACCAAGAATGCAAAACTTGAGRCATAACATAGGCATGTTTTCTCCAGATCCAAGTTCTCGAGTTTTCGATCTGATTGGTTCGCAGTTCTGGCAATYTGATAAACGGTGTCTGACGTTGTCCGTTTTTATACCCGCTGCCGGGCGTGGGCTGATTATGTAATGCATCAGACTGCTGACACATTAACTGAAGAAAGAAATTCTTGTGCCCACACTCTACCACGCCTTCCTTATATCAATACGTCTTCCTTGAATTGAAGTCTGCTAATCTGAAGTTGTACAGCTAAAGGACCCCTTCCCWACGGATCATATATTGTTTCATATTGAATGATCCTATATAATATATCCTATATAATTCAAATAATGAAGTGTTATAGTTAACATAGAGATACATCCATAAAGCCGTGAAGAATGCTGTCAAAAAAGGTTTCATAGACTAAAAAAGACGAGCGAAATAGAKTCATTATCATCCGTCTGTGAAACAATTACTACCAGTCATTATCTAAAAGTAAACTATTAGGGTGTAGTAGGCTACCAAAAGGTAAAATCAAAACCGTGTTTGCCTAATTAGTTTGTCGCATGTCATAAGTTTGGAGCAAATAGTAATAGTATTTAATAGTACAATTCCTATTTCACAGACGGATCCGTGAAACATAGTGCTTTCGTCAAACGTGGAATCCCACATTTACTGCTAAATTCGTCGCAAATTTCTCTTCTCTTTTGTTTTTTCTCAGTTATCATCTTATTTTCAATGAATAATGTCTCGGGACGTGTGAAATTCCACGTCTTGTGACTTTGTCAAAATCTGTAAAAGCTATATTTTACTCAAGGATGAYCAAAGTCCATTAACACGTAATACGCCAAGTGTATTTCACGAGTTCCATCGTATTTCATAACATATGATTAGTCACTCGAACTCAGCTGAAACACCTTTTGTAACAAAGCGCTTGAAGAGAAAACACTAGAGTGCTGAAGAAAACAACTTAACGTAATGTTCAGCTGTACATAATTAGATCTGGTAATGTCTATTTGAGTCAACTAATACTGAGCCACGAAGGGAAAAGTTATATTTACGTAATCACAGATGCATAGAATGCTTTCATAGCTAAAGACGTTAAATGATAATTACTTAATATCATAAGTATTTGTTTCGTCGTTTTCAAACAGTCTACTTAACGCACTCGGTGATCAAATCCTTTCAATAACTGCTAATGGCCTTTCATTTTTATAACGTGCATGATATATTCCTTGCAATTTTATTATGCCATTCATTTATTAATGCATTCTTTTATATTTTGGTGGACATCAATAGATTTAGTTAAAAACGAGTGGGACACAAAACCCTTCTCAACCAACAAGAGACAAGTTGGTCCAACATGAATAATAAAACGAACCACTGAAAAATGACAAGATTACAAAATAATAATACTCGAAATAAATATGAAGTGGTGATTAAAAGCTATAAATAGAGATAAATGGTTCTAGGAGTATAAATGATATATGAATCAATCGTCTAGAGGGAAGTAGTAAATTCATATGCCAAAAACGCAGATCTGCGGTCAAAACCTGAAAACAGCAAAGCGTCCGCTTTTTGCTCGAATTCCTGTTATCAAACAATGTTCATCGCAGTTTGGAATGAGGAACACCAACTAAACCTGTTGGACTTAACTTGTAAAAGGAAATTCGAAGAGAAGCAACGCTTGCACCACAAGTTTATACTCTCTGATACTCTATTGGAACCAGAGCACTCACATGCCCTGGTTACAGAGGCTTGTCTTTTATTCCTTAGCTTACTACGTTATCGAACCGCGAAGCGGCGAGACGTTTCCGTTAATCGGKTTGTTTTTTGACGAAAAACAAACAAACCGATTAACGGAAAGGTCTCGCCGCTTCGCGCAWCGATAGCATAGTAAGATTAAGAATTCAATTCCTCTCTAATATTTTCTTGTGGAAGAAAAGACTTTTTCTTTATTGACTTTAAAAATTTAGTCGAGCAGTTCTTCAAGAATATTCTAATCCCTAAGAACTTCATTGCCAAATCGTTCCTCATCTAGTTTCGACTAGGAGATTAAAAACCACGGGAGAAAATTCTGGGATCGAGAAAAGCCTCGTCTTGCTAGGGACGTGAGACTTACAAGACGGGGATGTTTTCTAGCGTGCGCTCTCTGAACAACATGAAGTCTAGAAGTGCTTCAATTTGACATGGGACTTGAAACCCACCTAGAACTTTGCCCCGCATCTAAGTGGATCGACACTTAAATAAAATCGAACCGAAATCGCGGACAGTTAGCACATTGGAAATATTCCATCAATAGATTTCGTGAAGCTGACTGCTGCCACAGCAAGGTGGCGAGCTTRAGCCAAGAGGAAATTCGTCAGTAAAGAAATCAARTACTGAACGACATTAATACGTATTAGCCACAGTCAGGGACAATAGATTTATTTATCCTTTCAAAATACACCAGGATCTAGTATCCCACAAATTGTCAGGGACCCTTGGTTTCCTGGRGGACAGGGAGCCCGCCACTAAGAACGGCTGCGAGGAGACTATTGGTTTCCCCTTTCATTGTTATTTCCCGAAGGCACCTATCAACTTSAGTACTATGAGCTTGTTAGTAAAATAGCGTTTGAAGTTCAAATTTACTTTACGCCGGGKATGAAGCAGAATACATTTTTATGATCATTTTAAGTTTGTTTCGTGATGTTACACTTCACGGAAATTGGGAGCCAACTAAAATTTGCTGATTCCGTTTTCCCGGAGACTCACTAATAGTAATATAGTATCACTGCATGTGTATTGATCGTTTTCAACTATTCCCACAAGATTCGATAAAAGACCGGCGCCGGCCGTGTTGGAGAAATGAACAATAGATACTAATAAGAAATCCTTTGTTGAAGTTCGTCCAAGACGGCCGCTAGACAACAATAGAACTATAGAACAGAACAACAGAACAATACATGGAACAAGCACTTGATTGTTCGTTTTTACAGTTGTTTGACTAAGCTATTGTTAGTATCCTATAAGTCCATTGTTTTCTTTTGTGTCTCATTTGATATGRCACAACAATAGTCAAATTTTGTTTCACGGATTTTTGGCTTCTCTTTAATATTTTAAAAWTAGAGTGATCGCAACTAAACCGTGCAACTRTACAAAATCTAAGTAGTACTRATTTRTACTAAAAGTGGACCTGAAGCAAGACGGTATTTTGTATGAATTTAGTAAATGAAAGTTACTAAAGTGATTCAAAGAATGATCCGCTTCTGTTGCAGATTGTGTTATATTGATTTTCTACAAYTTCAAAGATTAAGGACCGGATTCCYCTCTATGACATATATGTTATTTACCGGYTGGGATRTCCGTATAGKAAAACACTGCCYGAGGTCTTGACAGTAYGGAMCGAGCGCAGCGACAAATAGATTTCACGATCAAAACGAGTCATWACACCACTTATTCACACTCTAATTATGAAAACGGGTTGTTTTCTTTATTCCAACGTTATAAAGAATATCATTTACACACCTTATTGCCTATACATGTATAATTCAGAACCTCTAAAGGCTTGCTCTATCTGTCTGCGGTGTTGACTGTCAGAATGCAAGACGCAYTGCCGTCGGGCACGAAATATGCAGAGTTAATGATTTGATATATCGTGTTTCAACAAGAATATATTTTAAGCAAGCAAATATATAAATGACGAGGGGGAGGGCATGTCGTAGGGGCGGATTGGCTCGGAGGGTATGTGGGGCGTTTACCAGAAATTTCTCRATCTGGTAGCAGTGATGACTCAGGAGAATACAGGAAAAATATATTTCGCATTTATTTGTTTAAAAAAATTCCTTAGCTATGCCTGGTAACTGAGATGATATTTGACTCAAATGAGGATTTTTCTGCCCTCCGTGTCGAAATTCAGGCTTCCGTGGAGCAGTGACTTAACMCTGTAACCCGTCTAGCTGTGCTAAATCGGGTCTTAAACATTCCAAACCAGGCTTGTATTAGTGAAAACATACTCTTCTCTGGACCAGAATGCAGGTTTATTTTCTTCTCAATAGTTCTTTTTGGTAGGAAACTTGCCAAGGAGAGGTTGTTGGCCTACGTGACCAACACATTTTGTTGTTTATTCCGATATAAAGCTTTGTAGTTTGTTATTTCTCATTGCTGAGCGAAACAAATATAGAATTATGTTTATAGAATTATGTTTCTTAACGTTGTCGGGCTACTGCTTAAGAGCAACAAGACAACACTCCTTGAATGAAAAACAAAGAAAAGAAAACTAGTCCAACAGTGCGCTTCGAGTGCTCTATTTAACAAGACAAACAGGGATTATTGTCTCAGTATTGCGATTAGAAAGCTATGAGTTTCGACCAGTTTCCTGTGGCGTTTGTTTGTTCTACTCACGTCCTTTTTAGGGTTTGGGGTTCAAATAATTTGTCGCCTGCTTGGATAGACGAGAGGTGAGCGCTGTAACTACGCCGTTGTGCCTTATAATAAAGCCTCACTTGGTTTGTCAGAAATTATTGTTATCTCACGAACTAACATATTTCATGAAAATAACCCAAGAAATGCACGGGAAAACATAGGTAATCCATGACATAGGCGTGGAAAGAATGGGGCGTGATATTCTTGTCAAAAMGTTGGATGAGTAAGCACTTGGCTCAAAGGACTGATTTCTATATCGCCATTCTTATGTGATTTTTCCGGCATAATTTGCACAAAAATTCGCCTTAGGAGAGTGAGACTAGTTTCTTTCTTAAAGAATTGAATTAGGATATTTGGTAATTTTTATAATCGTTTTTTTTAAGGAATTATTTCCGTGATGCTGTGACGTGAGTGAGTCTACAGAGTAAACTCTGACCCATGGTGTAATCCTGTACTAAACGACAGTGTTTGTGCTTTAAATACATTGTGAAACTCGACTCGTCAGTTTTAGAGCAAAATATTTGCCTCTGAATCACAATGACGCCCCTCTCATGTTTAGTACAACATTGCTTTACAATGCATGGAATTTGATGTCAGTATTCAGCTAGTGAATAAACCCACTAAGATTACTTGACATATTTTCCGCGTAGGCTGATTRCAAAGCGATKAAGTTTCGCGAAAATAATCATGAATRTATTTATACTCATTATATTTCGACCCTATGGCCTTCTTCACTCAACTCTTTACTAGTACGTAAACTATGTTCTGTCTTCACACGCTTCCACTATTAAAAGTTTACCAAGAGCCTAAAAAACACTGTGCTWAACTTTACAGGAGCTGATATATTGCCAGATATAAACGACTCAATTAATCCAGTTAATGTGTTTAAAACAATGTTTCGTGAGGCAACTAACAGTTGACCCACTCCAAAGTTCTTCAACAAGGTCAACTGGCTAGTTCAAAGAGTTGGCACCAGAAATAGTATTATATTATAAACGGCTTACTGGATTAATTGAGTCATACATATCAGGGCAATAATTCTCATAATAATAACTCTTTTTTTTTTATTCCTTTCTCGGGAAGAACAAAACAAACTCGTTCGGACTTGTCTAGTACAAGTTAAAACCTTCCTAAAATAAACTTTTATTTATCTTGGCATTTCATTTTACTACAGGGCTCCAAGCTTTGTAAATATATATTTAATGCATGGCGCCGCTATGTAATCTTAACATAATTGGCTTTACTTTTATACAAATCTTGGTAGAAGTCTTTGTGCGACGCGAAATCATTGCGCATGAGCAATGGATAAATATGCAAGCGAACGACCACCCAATGTGGGAACGTTTTGACTTACTCCTATGTAATAAAAGGAAATAGATAGGCTGATAGGAAAACTCATTACTGTCGTTTTGTGGTTAGTCGCGCTGTAAAGAAACCAACATATCATTGTGTAAACGATAAAACTCTCTAGTCCCACCAGCGTGACTATTTCATGACAATTTCACAATTTATAAGGTCACCGGACACTGCTGGATCTCAAGAWTTGAACATTCAATTGAACATTCAGTTGGTTTCCATTCGAATTTGGTTTTCTTTCAGTTTAGTTCGTCTTTCTTACTGATATTTGTGAGATAACAGTATCTGATCTTGAATGGTCTGGCATCAAAACTTTTTACTTTGACATCTTATAAAAGGAAGTGGTAGTAAGCAATCAAGTGTAACTCTATCTAGGAATAGTAAAAGTGCTACGAAAGTGTGTGTGGTACTTGTTCAGAGGCACGATGCCTAGTATTTTGTTTCAATTGATAAACCACTGAATGACAGTCTGCGCAACATGTTTTTGTTAAAGAATCGATCGCAAAAAAATTTCAAGTGTTGGATGTCACGAGGAGATTCTGTTCTCCATGGCAAATTTCATTGTTTGTGTGGGAGGAAATCGATTCACCAATATCGGCTTGCAATGCGTGGTTGTCTTTTCCTTTAATTAATCTAAAGAAGTGCTCTTATTGATAGGGAAAAATGTCATTGACCGATAATTTTATACAGTCTTTGTACACTGCATCGTTAYTTGTTATATTATTGTCATCAAAAATCGATAATTTATTGATAGAATTCAGCTAATTTGTTAATGACAGCTAGAATTGACATAGGGTATCATTAAAAAGACAATTATTGCACCTTTTATTATGGTTATTTAAACTTCAATGTCTGGTCTTTTATTCTCTAAACCATAAAAGATCGGAAAGGCCATTAAAAAGTATTACTCACTTACAATAACGATTATTGAGGTGAAATTACTTTCTCGAGCCGCTAAGACTAGTCCCAAAGCCAATTACTTTTTACACGAAAGAAATATGCTTGTGTAGTTGAGCTTTTTCATAATAGTTGATCTGGCTTTTCCCACTTGTAAAATGGTGYTATCTTTTAAAATTTATTTCCACTCATTGTCGCTCGTTTTTCGAYCTTTTCCTTCGTTGATTTTCTTTCATTCTAGTGCGTTTTTTGGTGATTCTATTTTCTTGCCACATTGCACTTCCTGTTTTCCTTTTTGTCTTGGTCAATTTCATCTGCTCATCCATCCGTTTATTTTTCATCTGTTCTTTAATTYAATCATCCATCCATTTAGCCAACCATTAAAACGGAAAGAAAAATAATAAGAGAAATGATGAGAATTGGAATCAAAAATGGATGTCTTTCTTCATGGAAAWAAATTCTTATCTTCATTTCCTTTTTAATCTATTGTGTATTTCTCCCCCTTAATTTTAATTWACTTCGAATGAGACGCGAATTATTATTTTTTTTAATAATCACACTGTTGTTGATGAGCTAATCTAGATCCAGCTGCCACGGCGAACAGCAATAGTTGTCATTTAATCCAAACCTATTGTCCTTAATCTATCACCTCCATCTACGCATTTATATCAATCAAGACTATTGAAGAAGCAAAGCAAAAAGTATGCGYACATGCAGGTGCAGTTTCAATTATCTATATAGTTTAGTCTATATCAAGATCCTACTACTCACCTATAGATGTCYCCATAACCAAGCTACGTCATACCTGTCTGATCTCATCAAACCTTACAAACCTACCCRGAAACTACGCTCTTCTACAAAGTCTCTACTACAGTCAAACTATCGTCCTAACACTCAGTACTATGGTGAACGATCTTTTTCATTTTCTGCACCTAAACTATGGAACATCCTACCTGAACATATTAAAACTTCTCCGTCTGTTGACAGTTTCAAATCTAGGCTAAAGACATTTTTATTTAGACGTCATTTTTATACTAATTAATATTTATCCACGTTTATTGTTAACGCTATGAGATTTTATAATTGCGCCCTAAAAAATTTTATTATTATTATTATTATTATTATTAGTTTTAATTGCTCAACCAAAAAAAAATATATTATATAGATGTAAGTGAAAAATGCATTTTTACCACTGTAAAGAAGTATTATTTCGGAAATTTCTAAAAATAAATGAGTCCTCCGCGTTTACTAGTGATATTTTTAATACCGAGCTTTCGGCCTAAGCGGCCATTTCCATTTCGGAAATTGTTCAATATTAATATAATGCAGAAAATCAAAAAATAATATCATTTTGTACAAAGTTTTACTGTAGTGAAGATTATAATAATAATTAAAAGCTAAATTTAAATGTTAATAATTAATAATTATTRCAATTATTATTATCATTATTATTATTTTTYAATTGAAGAATTGTAAAAAAAWWTCCCTTTTTATATTGCATAATTTATAGTTAATAAAGATCATTATAACTAAATTATTATTACTATAAATAATTATTATCATTGTCATTGTTATATAAAATATTATTATCCTTTTATAAATTAAAAAAAGTATTATCATTATTTTCATCTGTCTATACAACACTATCATTGTATTTCATATATTTCTGTTAGYTATTTGTGAAGACTAAAATAAAAAGAAAATACGAAGAAAAAACTCAAATTAAAATAGAATTCGAATGAGATTAACCCGAATRAATGATCGGTGTCCAACTATTTGCTTAAACGCTGTCATGTTAAATAAATAAAAATGAAGTTTATGTTAATTATGTGAACATGGAACAGGTAGTAATACTTTTAGCTTGCGATATTAAGAACTGTCTTTTTTTACGAACGTCAAATGAATTAGCTTTGGCCAACAAGGGCAYTGTCGAATGCTTGTGGAGTTTTGCGTTCGCAGCCAACGTTCTTGTGATGTCATCGTCCACCCACGAGCTCACTTTCATTGAATCCCGCAGACGCTGAATTCAGTTCCATTCACGATCAGCTGGGTGCAGCATTCATCACAGAAAGACGATCCTGCTACAAAAGCTTTGTAAAATGCTTGTCATTCTTCTTATTGGTAAGATCACACCAGAAACACAGACATTGTGACTCATATTTTAGTCTTTTTGTTAATTGCGTTTTTTCCCTTTTTCTTCTTTTCTTTTCTTTTTTTTTTTCTTTCTTTTTTTTTTTATTTTGTTGCTGTTGGTGTTGGTGTTGGTGTTAGTGCGTATTTTCAGGATTTTTCTGTCAGTCCCCATCCATTATCGAATGAATTTTCCAATGAACTACCAAAAAGACARAKAATTTTTTTTCTTTTTCAAGGCTTAATCTTAATCGATCTTAATCAAGTTCAATCATTAGACTTTACTCTGTTAAGTCTACTTACTGTGTGATGTAAGGGGTGATCCTTAGGATTTTGACACGAAAAACAACACAAAAAAAGCAAATTCAACCGAAGCGAGTTGCTTTCATGTCGAAGTAAGTTTTTTACGCAGAAARCGAAATCGATTAGGCTTCTATAAGAGGTGCGAGCGGCATTCGGCTAAAAAAGATAAAGATGTTTGGAATAGTGTTAATGATTACGAGAGGTTTCTGTGTTATAAAAACGTTCTATACAGTAACATCAACGCACTGACATCTGTAAATTAATTGGAGCTAAATATAGTAATAATTCTAATCTTGATTCCTTGTTTTCTATTGGATRAACGGAGTTGTATGCAATGATTGGTTGTTTCGCTCGCTAATTAATACCTTCTCTAAGAATACTTAATTGTTACATSTCCTATGACCACTCAGGCAAGCTTTAGTGTCAGATAAGGACCTTGTTGACCAAAGACGTTTTTTTTGCTAGTCCATATCTTTCATTAGAAATTTGGGAGAGGGGGGGAGTAATAACAAGCAAAAAATGGATTAAGTAGGGGGGAGTAAGGATTTTTTGACATTTTGAACCTCGGAAATGCGATCTCCAGCATCTATCTTTAAGGATTCATATTTTAGACACWGGACCTATAAAAATATTACCTAATACTCAATGCATAAGGTATTATTATAGGGGTCAAAAATTATAAAAACGTTAATTTTCTAAGGAATAAATAAAAATGGCAGAAAAAAATATTTKGGGGCTACTCACTGTAATTCTTATTTAAGCCTTCATTTCGTTTTATTTGTTGCAGTTGTTGCTGTTCTGAACACTTCAAAAGCAAAGTTAATCATCACAGTTGAAAACAACAACAAAAGTCAAGTGACAGCCATCACTCAAGGCAGTGACGTCATCTTAAACTGCTCATCGACAGTGAGAGATAACGTCAGTGAAATAGTGTGGTTAAAAAATGACGACTTAATTGAAAACAAATTAAAGGCCTTACCCGCCATCTTGATGTTGCATAATGCGAGCAAAGAAGAATCAAATGGAATTTACACATGTTTGGACAAACGGAATAAAGAAAGCTCTTCTTATAATCTAAAAGTTGACGGTGAGTCTGTTGTGACGCTGGGGAGAAATGCACTGAGCATKCGTCGAACAGTTTATACACCTGAACGGCAAATGTATTTCTTCTTATGTACAAAAACATTTTTGTAAATACTTTAATTGTTTGGATGTTCCGTGAAAATAAAACGGCTTACCTTTCAGGCATTTTTCTTCTTTTTTTTTGCGATTTTTATGCAATAACCAGAAAATCAGCATCAAACATCTTAAGTTACTACTTGTTAGAGTACGTCTTCCGAGGATGAGCAGTTTCGATCTCCCCAATTATTTGGTTATGAATAAATGACSCAGAAGATTATATGAATCAAAATGACCTAAATTCAAAAATAATTTCAGTTAATCTTGATATTTCAGAACGSCCGATAATCAGTTATCTATCCCCAATTGGCTTATGCCCGTTCTATTTCCATYCTCCCATCCAAGAAAAGACTCTAAYATGCGAAGCTAGCGGTTGGCCGACACCTGACGTTTATTGGAAGAATAATCTATCTGGTGAAACCGTCAATTCATMCATCCTTAAAATCAATGAAAATAACGTAAAAAACTACATAGGTTCCAACACATGCTACGCGAGAAACCGAGCAGGGACAGATAAAGAAGATTGCTATRTAGACAGAACAGTAGGTGAGCTGCCATCCAATAAGGATTTTTAAGGCTTACAACGCAATAACCTTAAGAGCGCAGGGGGGCAAAAATAGCTTTGAAGATTAGAAGGGATTAGGAAGAAAGAAAGTAATGTATAAATGATTTTTTAAAACAGTCGGCAATGTTATTTCTTAGACTAGTTCAGCATACATATTATTCAAAGTTAATCAGAATTGAAAGACCATTTGCAGTTCTTTGGCGTTAGCAGGTGCCTGGACACTGCGTATTTTCCATATATCTGCTACTAATCGACATTTGTTTCCCCCCTCGTTCCCTTTGAAGGGAAAAGGATCTGAAAAATAAAGTTGACGGTTGATAAATAATGTCTAACAACAACAACAATAATAGCAACGCACATTCCTCTACAATCAAATAGTAATCATAATGATGATGATGATGGGTCTTACTGTATTCACTGGAAAAAATAGCGCGCTTAAAGGTTGTAAATTTGATGTAAATATGATATAAGTGTCCAAAATTCTGTAAATGTAATGGAAATCATTTACATCAAATTTACAGAATTGTGGACACTTACATCATATTTACATCAAATTTACAACCTTTAAAGCGCGCGATTTTTTCCAGTGATTACACCTTCACTTTTGAAAATCCCTTATAGTCAGGCAATTACAAGAACAATTTCAAGACAATTACCAGAACAATTGTGACAATGATTATAATGGCAATTAGCAATTAAAATAACAATRCTATTGACCCAAAACATATATGATGACATATGGAATATTTGAATTTAGAATATACAAACCCACCGGCTCCAGGTCCTAAGATTACATCCAAAAAAAACAGGACGGTTGTTGGTTATCGCGGTSSCACTGTGTCATTCGCGGTGAAAACAAGTCGCACACCGTACCACGTAATATCGCAAAGCTGGTCGTTTAGTGGTAAACAGCTGCAGCAAGGACTCAAATATGAAATATCASATACTACCGACATACAGTATGACAAAGCTGAATTTCAATTGAYTGTGAAAAATTTGTCTAGTAGCGATTCGGGTATCTACAAGCTCGCCGTTTTTACAAACATTCCTCCACCAGCTGAGGCCTGGATAAAATTGGAAGTACGGCAACCAGATAAAAAAGGTAGGAGTAGTATTCATACTTTTTTTGTGGTGATGAAGAATTGTAATTCATGTGAATTAAAGGCCGATTGTTATTTGTGGCGAAAGCCAGTATTCGGAGACGTAAGGCCTTTGGTTGGAGTATAGTGAGTTTACGGAAGGGGGAGAAGTTGTGAAAGGTCGTAGAACAAAATATATTCCAGTAATGRTTTAAGTCTACACATTATTTCTCAGTGAAAGAACGTTTTCTTTAAATTAGAATAGCATGAATTCATAAGTGATTCTTGTAGTAGGAATCTTTCAACGTTTGGAGAAAAAAGCCGTATTTCTCTCTCTCCAAATCTACTCCCGACAATTTCTGTCTTTCACTGTCTCTGATGCTCAAATGTTCATTCTCATCTCATGTTTATTTTGTATATAATAAAATTAACTCTGATTCATTTTAATTTTCAGATGTCGCTACAAACAAAGCAGGTCAGATTATAGTACTGAAGACCACTAAACATTCTCAAAATACACAGTCAATAACTCAAAATTCAAAATTGTCACAAAATTGTCACAAAACACAATTTTGTTCGACAATTTTGAGAAATCACGCGTGGTATTTATCCCAAATACCACTTGAAAACATGCTATTACCTATAAAAATCGGTACGATTCCTAACCAGCATTTCAAATATCCAGTCTTTGATAACTGTGACACATATATCTATGTAACATCTTTCTCATTTTTAACCCTACCCAGTTGATAAGGAATTTAGTTTGTTTTTGTCGACTATAATTTTCTCGATATTTTTAGWTACGCTTTATCCCGAGTATGCTAAGATGTGGATTCCAGTGGTGGTGTCATCATGTGTGGCCTTCGTCTTTGTGATTRTGCTYGGCTATTTYTTGGTGAAAAGAAAAAAATACGTGTTTTTTAAGGGTAACTAATGAACCAAGTAAAATTATTTTGATTGATTAGTTGATTGATTGATTGATTGATTGATTGGTTGATTAATTGATTGATTGGTTGATTGATATATTGATTGATTGATTGATTGATCAGATGATTGATTGATTTTTCCATTGCTTCTATTTTTTCATTTATTTTATTTTAATCTATTTATTTATTTATTCGGTTTTTTTTTATTGATTGATTTTTTTACTGTTCAAGGATTAAAGAAAGAAATTCCAAAGTTTGATGTCTTTATTTCTTACTCAACCAGTGACTTTGACTGGGTGAGGCAGCAACTCATTCCTCTGCTCGCTAAACACCATATCCGGTACTCAATCCACAGTAAAGACTTCGAAATCGGAAAAACAATCGTGGACAACATGGCTGACAGTGTGTACATGTGCAAACATGTGAGTACAAAAGAAGCATTTAGTTGTACTATGATAATGATAGTACTGACGGGTATCTTTTTATAAACCTAGATCATCGCCGTTCTGTCTGATCGCTACCTGGAGAGTGCATTCTGCCACACAGAGCTGGATATGGCGATTTGCCGTTCGTGCATCGACAAGAAACCAGCCCTGACAATCATTAATCTCAACTGTGATTTGCCAAAAAAATACTCAAAACTATCAAAGCAAAATGTTCACTTTCAAAGTGTTCAAAWAGGTGATGATCGATGGAAGGAAGAGTTGATGCATTATGTGAAGTCTTGCATCACTGAAAAAGTCTGAGGCGTATCCCATCTATCGCGCAAGGACGAGAAGATGCCTTTATCGTGGGGGCGTAAACGCCAGAAGGTCGTAAGCAGGAGAAATGAAAACGTTCTCTGTCATATTGAAAGAACCTATAGTGCTATACCTGATGACGCTTTATAAACACTGCATGACGTCATACTTGTATGTAGTCGAGTTAGGACTTGATTGGGCCATTTGTAGACCTTATGACGTCATACATGTATTCAAGTACGTATAATTGTAGTTATAAGGCTTGATAGCTGTACCATTTGTAGACCTTATGACGTCATACATGTATTCAAGTACGTAGTCGAGTTAGGACTTGATAGGACTAGTTGTACCATTTGTAGACCTTATGACGTCATA